GCGATTTTTTTATATTTCCAAAACCATCGTCGAAACTATTTGAAAAAATCTACGATACAAATATCATCAGATTCTTTATTATTATTCTTCGTCTATCATCACGAAATTTGTATCGTCTCGAATTTAAGCAAATTATTCATTCTCTCTAAGTGTCGCCATATTTTTACGATTTTTTTTTTTTTTTGATTTTTATCCCTTTTTCACCAAATTACAATATTGTAAAAATTAGACAATTTATCGATACCACGCGAGATTTCTTTATATTTTCAAAACCATCGTCGAAACTATCTGAAAAAATTTACGATACAAGTATCATCGCGAGATTTCTTTGTACGAAATTATTCACTCTCTCTCTAAGTGTCGCCATTTCGACCAAATACAATGCAATATTGTAAAAATTGGACAATTTATCGATACCACGCGAGATTTCATTCTAATACTACATTTTCAGAACCATCGTCGAAAAAAATCTACGATACAAATATCATCGCGACATTTTTCTTTTCACGAAATTTGCATCGCGTTTAAGCAGATTATTCACTCGTCTTCAAAAACACAACTTCAAAACTGTCCGAAAAAAAAAAAGAAAAATTCGCTCGACGAATCGACGAAGTCCCTCCCCTCTGTCCGAAGTAACAAGACGTATAAAATGGAACAATTCACGACACGAGAGTATCACCGCTAGATTTCTCGCGGAATTTTTATCGCCCCGCCCCGGATTTAAGCCTCGCTGTTGTTCACGCGGTGAGCCGAGAGCCGAGCGTAAAGCGGAGAACAAATGTTAGCGAGGCTACAGGCCGCGTCTCACCGAGGAATGGTGGCTCACTTACTTACCTGATCTCACCCTTATCCTTACCCCCTTAAAACCGCGCCACTTCTTTTCGCGCGGCCGTCTCTTTATTATGCGCGCGCGCTGCAGTCGTAAAGTAGATGCAGTTGGAGATCCTCTGCGCGTATCTTGCGAGACTAAATTGAAACGAGAAGAAGGAAAACAAAAAAAAAAGAAAAAAGAAAGAGAGAAAGAAAGGAAACGAAAGGGAGATACACTTCTTGGAGAGGAGGGACGATTGGAAAGAGAAAAAAGAGGAGGAGAGAGTGCGAACACCCACCGGTTAGCCAGGCGGTGTATACCCAGCTGGCACTCCCACGCATTCTCCACCAGCTGACGTCTTCATCGCTCGGCCCAGCCAAGGAACTCGACTCGCATTCCGGAGGAACTCGAAACTTTGCCACTCGATCGGTGTCCTCTATTCGAGAGAGAGAGAGAGATTTTCTTCTCGTGGATTTGGAAGTTGAGGGGGTGCGGAACGATTAAGTCGAACGATGATATCGAGAAAAAGGGGGAAAAAATGGTGGGAGGGAGGAGAAAACGGATTCTTGCTCGGAGAGAAAACAGCTTGGTTATCGGTTGACCAGAACCCCTACAAATCTGCACCTATCGGCCCGCTCGATCTCTCGAGACCACCGTTATTTCGCGGATTTCTCTCATGCTTTTGCTCTTGTTTTCCAGCGATTCGTATATACATATATATATATAGAAATCGGAAGAAGATGGACTGAGAAAAGGGAAAATGTTGGAAGAAATTGGAGTTCGAAATCAAATCTAGTAGTGGGTAAAAATGGGTGAAAATCAAATGTTACCGATAAAAATAATTCTCACGATAAACGTGAAACGTGGATCATATCACGAGAATCGAATCAAATTCGATGTTTGAGTCTGTTTGTTGCGTACCCTGTCGTTCCCGCTATCGTCACTGAACGTTTCATGATTCCAGGCAGAAACGGGTTAAACGGTGCGCACGAGACGTAAAGGAAAGTTATGGGAATGAGCAGAGGATGAGGGACGAGTGAGAAAAGGAACGAACGAGAGAGGGAAAGAAAAAAGGGGCGATGACGAAGGGGTAGAGAGAAAGATGGTGAAAGAGGGACAGAGAGGGGCAGGGCCTCGTTTCTTTGAAGCAAGGGTTAGTTTAGCAGCCGTTCGAGATTCGGTAGTCTCCCCACCGATGTTTTATTTTATCCTCTCCGCTCCATAAGATCGCATTCTTTACGACCCATTAGACGAATTCATTACCAGCTCCAGCCGATAGGTAGGTGAGTCCATCTTCTCCTCTCTTTTCTTTTCCTTCTTCTTCACCTTACTCCTCTGACCGATCATCTATCTCTCTCTTTCATAACGTTTATTTTCCGCATTATTCTTTCGATTTGTCGCGAATCGTGACGACCAGTGTTTGAACATGCAACGATAATAAATAGCCAAGCGGAAAGAATCAAGAAGATTGTAATCGAGAAGTCGAAGAAGAAATATAATAATTCGTCATTATTTTCTGTTCCAGCGTGTCCTTCGTGGAGCGTGATCGACCGATAAATAATTCGGATGAAAATTTTTGTCCCATCTCATGATATCGGATCATTGTTCGATATAATCAGGAATGGAAAATGGAATTGCGTTTATTCTGCGATGTAAACGTAGAAAGGGATGAAAGAAAAGAGATTTATACGTGCGAATAAAAAAATCAGGAGATACTATACGATTAATTATAATTGTATAAATCAATAAATGCTAATAACAATAATTCACATGTTAGAATTATGCTGTGTAACTTGTTTCAATTTGATTCCAGAAATATTGAGATATTGAAAAAAAATATGATACTCACTTAAGCGACTAACAAAATTATCGCTGGAATGAAAAATTTAAAATATGACGAAGGGTTAAGTGATTTCTACGTTAGTAACACAGCTCTTCGTTTATCCATGGGTTATGTCCATTCTTCGAGGATATTATGCGAGACTCGCGGTATCTTTGATAACAGAGTGCATATGCTTAAAGCGTATACGTTTGCACGGATATCGCGCTCTCTGCTCGGCAAATGATCGACCAAATTTTCAAAATTATACGCGTATCTTGATTCACAAATATCACGGTCGTGCAAGAAGGACAAGAAAGGATGACGAGGTTAGGTTATATACACGTATACGTAAGTGTAAAGGAAGAACGTTAGACGAACCGTTTACTTTATAACATATATATTTATTTGAGCTTTAATTGCATTTTAAAATACAACCGAAATAATTAAATAATGACAAATCTGGTAAAATGGTTTCAAGAATCGCGTATACATGATGCATATCTTTGTGGTTGCGCATTTGTAAGTAGGTAGGTACTTTTCGAGCGTATTTTTCGCACGGTTGGCTATTTCTCGTTTCGTATCTCGTATCCGCGAGTGCGCACGCGCTGCGCGTTCGTTGGCGCGCATGTGCCGTGTATCGCAATCGCGCGGATCTCTCGTATCCCCCCGCCACACTCTCAGCAGTCGTATATAATTACAATAATAATATTAATATTATCGTTATATCGATAAATACTTTTAAAGTCCGCGATGGAAGAATTAGAGTTTACAAGAAATACGTATACAAGTGTGTTCCGCTCCAAAACCGCTCGTCCTCGAACGCGCGCGCAATCATCGCAATCACTTTTCCTTTCTCGCTCGCTCGCTCGCGTTTCTCGCCAGCTTCCTTCTCGCGTTCTCGCGCACGCGCGGGCGATCGTGCTTGTCCAAGCTTTCTTTCCCGTCTCGTTCTCATCCCTTCGAATTTTCGGGCCAAGCAGAAAAGCACGCACGTTGGCCGAGAGACGATGGGATTCCTGGCGCAGGGAGGATCCCCCCTCTATCCAATACTTCCCTCCGCTACTATTCGTTTTCCATTCGTCTTCTTCGTAATTGTATAGAGAATAATCGTAATCGTAATCAATATACACGGTATATCGCGATAATCCGAGCGATAGTAATGACAATATTTTACACTTAAAACGTCGCGTTGACTCGCACGGCGCAATAAATATTATTTGAACAAAGAAAATTTACAATGGTCTACTCGTGCGCTACGAGCGAAGGAAAACGATAACGTTCGAGGAGGCCGCGCCGCGTCGCGCACGTGTCTCGAGTATAATCGCGAGCCTCGCTATTGCACCGTATCTCGTTGCTTCTCGATGCTCCATTATGCCATTTCTCTCGCTATCCTCTCCCGCCGTACCCGTGTTCTCGGCTCGTTCCAAACCCTCGTAGCAGAGTTTCGACGATCGAGGTTCGATCCCGAACGATCTCACCGGTTTCGCAGCTCTCTAAGTATCAACAAAGAGGTTCCTATACAAGGGCGGACCCTAGCCTAGCCTATGCGCTAATCAACTACGCTCTTACGTTCTAAAGGTATACATGCTGATCTGACCTTACGACAGCTGTGCGATAGGTAAGCCTTTCTGTTCTACACCTTAGAAAATTCATCTCCGCTCTCCTCGCCGCCTTTTTATCGCTCTTTCTTTCCACGCGCTCATCTCGTTCACGCTCTCTCTCTCTCTCTCTCTCTCTCTCTCTCTCTCTCTCTCT